GAGAGCAAACACTTTTTATACCTTAGTGCCTCCCAAAACAGCCAAGAAATTTCTTCAAATGACTCCCTCCTGAAAAATGTCAGGTTTCTGTTGAACTTGCAGGACCCCAGCTTTCTGGGAAATTGGTAGTAGATACTGCTTCATGGCTTCAAGACCACTCATCTAGTAAGACTTCTCTACTTTGCCTGATGGCTTTTCACTTCATCAGTTATGAGCACAGAAGTATGCCATTTTTGGCACTGGTCCATACTTTAGTTACTTAAACTACAACAGCAAAATAGAGTCAAGTGGAAAGAATGACAACTTTGGGAAGGTTTACAGTGACAACCTTTTTGCAGTGCCTCAGCCCAGCAATAAACCAGAGAGCACACAGTTTAAAAACAAAGTTCTGTCACTGAAGAACAACATGAAACTCTTCTCTGTTCCCAAATACTAACAGACATCACTGCTGTGAAGCTATGCGAATAAAATTAGCTTTAGAACGTAGAGAAGGGGAGCAACACTAAGTCAACACATTACATTTCTCTCAAAATGGAGTAAATAGGTATTAATTTTTTTTTTAATTCCAATATTTTATTTCCTGAGAACAATAGTGGAGACCTAGAAAAGAGCTGAAACGTACGTAAAATGCTAACATCAAGTCTGTTTTACTTTCTTATTTTTTAGGAACAAATGTCTATGGTCTTTATCTCATCTTTATGTAGACATAAATTGGGAGAGACCACATAATACAAGAAACTTCATTTCATTCATGAAAACGTGACCTTTGGGCTTAGAAGGCCTGGAAGATAAAAAAAGAAGTGCATCTTTGCAGTCTAAACAGAAAATGAGACTGTAAAACCAGTGACCTTTCTTTACCCCCTTAGCTGACAGAGCACAATGAATAAATGAATATAAACATCAAATAACCGTAGAATGAGGATTCAAGCAGGAGTGACTCTGTAATGCCATACTTTCACAATCACTGAGCTGGCAGATGTTGGCACTGCTTCTGCAAAAAGAAGCCATTCTTTCCTCTGCACACAAAGATTGTGTTGCATGCAGTTACAAGGATTTTGACCCCAAAGAGTTCCTGGGCTCTTGCTGACCAACACAAATAGCTACAGAGCCATGGAGCCAGAAACACAAAGCCAAAGAAGAGTATGATCGATTCTTTCAAAAGCAACATAGCTTAGAAATGTTTGGAAAGTTACAGTACTAGTTCCACTGCCTCATGCAATATCTATAGTGCCATTAGCTATCCATAACCGAAGGAGCAAAATGTCATGAAAGGTGTCTGGCTAGTAATGAAGAGTCTTGGAGACTCTGTTCTACTACGCACTATGGTGGGGGGATGCTGAGGGTGCAGATCGCCTCTGACAACATATTACTGAACGGTAAGGCTTTTCTTCACAGAAATGACAGAATTAGCCAATTTTTCATTTCCTACTGGAACCCTGGAAATACGATTCCTTATTCTTGACTTGGTACGAAAAAGGTAAGAGGCACTGTTGTTTCTGTATTTTGGGTTAAATCGTTACGTCAAAGATGATAGACTGTTAACTGATTTTTTAACTTACCATATGTAAAAGCTATGATTTTCACCTTTTAAGCATTAAAAGCAATTATTCTTGGCAGGAAAACTATGTAGCACACAGACATGACATTTAAGTCCTTGCCTTTCACCTTTGTAATCTGTCACAGCCTTCGGATCACGGTAGTAAAATAAATAAATGATAGCCAGACGGAGTTTGGTATTTATTTTTTATAGACTACATATGGACCAAAATGGAAAATACATTGCTAAATAATATAGATTACTAAATTTTATCATTAATGTACTGAAGTAAAATGTGTATTTATCTGAACAGAATCCAGATCTAAACTCACATTTATACAAAATGATTGAATGTTTCAGCTGGGGACTTCTCACGTATTTGACAGCTTCACATTCATGATCACTTTGTGTCCTGATTTAGCCCCACCTAACAATTAAGCACCACACAGCCTCTCACTCACTCCCCCACTGCCCTCAATGGGACACGGGAGAAAATTGGGGAAAAACTCATGGGTTGAGATAAAAACAGTTTAATAGGACAACAAGAGAGGAGGAAACAACGATAACAATAATACTGACAAAGGAACATGCAAAAACAAGTGATGCCTAATACAGCAATTGCTTACCACCCAGTGATCGATAAACTGGAGTTAGCCGGGGGTCAGGAATCGCTGCTTGGGGACAGGTTATGTACCGGGCATGATGTTATCTGGTAGGGAGTATCTCTGGCCAGTCTGGGTCAGCTGTCCCGGCTGTGCCCCCTCCCAGCTTCTTGTGCCCCGCCCCCCGGCAGAGCATGGGAAGCTGAAAAGTCCTTGACAGTATAAGCACTGCAACTACTTAACCACAACTAAAACTTCAGTGTGTTATCAACGTTATTCTTAGACCAAATCGAAAGACAGCACTATACCAGCTATTGGAAAGAAAAAAACCTAACCCCATTCCCAGGTCAAAACTAGGACACCTTGCCAGAATTTAGGCAGAATTACCTCAAGACTCCTGGTCAAAAACATTAACATAGTGAAGCTTCAATTTACACTTTTGAACCATGCTGTAAAGTTAATGAATGAAAGCAGCTACCCATTTAACCCAGTTATAGTCAGTGTGACTTACTTAAAACCTTTTAGGTTGATTTTCCTTACACTTCAAAATATATTTTGAATTGTCAATACTGCACCTAAGGCATTTTTGTAAAAGCACTAGTAACAAGAGTCTTGGACTGCAATCTAGCTGGGAATTTAGTTTTCATTGAACATAGCCTTTGAATATATCTGAACAACTTTTTGTAGAAGGGCTGCAGTAGCAGAGGGGAAAACTCGTATCGTCTTAACATTTGATTTTTCTGTATCTTTGGTCATCCAGCTATTCAAGAACTCAACTGAGAGAATCACACCTTTTTTTGATACATCTCTTGTTGTCTTTGTGTCTTCATCATACTGTCAGCCCTTGAACCTTACTCCAGGGTTGCAACAGTTTAGTGTAACAAGCTCTAGACCCTTCTTTCTCAAATTAATATATTCTCCCTCTTTTTGAGTTGAAAAATTAAATATTGGGCTGGGTAGCAACATATATATAAGGTGCAACACACACATTAATTGAATCATACTGCCAACACCTTATACGAAAACGTCTGGAATGCTGCCTAGGAAGCAAGAGTTCCCCAAACCACCCCTTCCTGTTTGAACAACTGCAGATTTTACTGAACACAAAAATGATTCTGCAAAGTGCTCAGTGTGAGAATAATTCAAAAACCCAAATCTTCCCTCCCAGTAAAATGCCCAGCTCATCCCTGTTAGGTACTTTATGTTTGGGAGAGAAGTCCTTTTCACTTTCTGGTCAAACTGCTCCATTTACAACAATTTCAACAGCAGCTGAAAAGAATGGATAGTTAGAGCACTTTCCTGTAGATGCAAGAGACAGTTTTGCATAATCTTGGGGGGGAAAAAAGGCCCCCTTCATTTAAAAAAGGTATAGAATTGCATACTGCCCTCCTCATTATCATAATATTCTTTTTCTTTGTGGATCTCATAACAAGCAATTTGAGAACAGTTTAACAAACATCAGCAATAAATCCAGAATGGTATATACTGCCTTCCAAATATTAATGTATTTCCCCACATTTTTAAAACAGAAATTAAATAAAAAGAGAATTATTTAGCTACTTGATTTTAATAAAAGACTGTCACTACTGATTATGTATGCCCTGCCAAAAAAACAAACGACCACACAATGGAATAGCAAGTCTACTGTCAACCTCAGCGTCCTTCAAAATTTTTCTTCCTGTAGCTTTGATTATCCCCATCCTCCATTTTTCACATTGGTTTTAAATTTACTGTGATTTTTTTTAAATATGGTGTCAAATTTAATAAAAATTTAGGTGCCTGCAAGTGGAGGGGATGCACTTAGAATCTTCCTGATAGAGCACTGAGGCACAGGATGGCTCAGGCTCCTATTTTCAAGGCCTCCTGTATCATTTTTTGTGTGTACGTTTATCACACCCCCAAGGCAGCAGCATATTGACAGAGAAACACTGATCCAACCTAATCTAACACTGGGAATAGTTCATTGAATGGGGGGGGTGGGGGGGGGTGGGGAATCACTGAAAGGGCACACAGATTTCAAAAAAAAAATTGCAAATACTTATCATTCAGGTAAACAAATCCCGATGGTAAAGAACGAATCAACAACTGTTTCTCATGCTGGCAATATGTATTTATTGTCATTCTAGAGATAGATTACCATGTGTATATCAAGACTTCAGACTGAAAACAAATCGGGATTATGAACCCAGCATATGCCAGTTGGAAATTTAATGACTGAATGTAAAGCTGACCTTTAGAAGATCTTCAGTGGTCTATTTTTGTGTTGTTGTGTGTCCCCCCCGCTTTTTTTTTTTAATTAGAAGCTGAACATCTTCCCCTCACCCTGCATTTCAACCTCTAAAAAATAAATGATCATCAAATGCAGCTTTTCCTAGTTATACTAATGATCTGCTCGCAATCTCAGAACATTTATATTGTTGATTCTGCAACGTCCGAAGGAAGCTAATCTTTACAAACGATATTCTTCCTCCACTTTACCTGGCTACTGAGTCCAGCTTTAAGGACTAGGCTAAAGCAGATTAAAGATTTGCTTATATTAGGCTATTGCGGTTACATTATGGTGCAAATCTTCAACATATGCACTTTGCTGTTCCAGAACAAGGTACATCAGTGCAAGATCTGAGAGTCTGTGCAAAAGAAGCCACAGTGCTACGAATTCTTCAAATGCCTTCCGCTCCGTCTCACAGGTATTGACTAAAAACAATTTAGTTGTTCTTCCGCCCACTAATTTCACCAATCCCAAGTACTACCCAAAAGAAAGATGAAGATATTTCATGGTTTTATAAAAAAAAAAAAACAAACAAACAAAAAAAAAACCCACACCCAACTCTGAAAAAAAAAAAATCCTCCAACTGGAATCCCCCCTCCCCCCTCAAAAAAAACCCAAGTCAAAAGTATTTGTTCCCCACCCTCCCAACCATCTTATAGCTTTTTTATGTCACCATTAAAACAAATGCATACAACTTACTGTACAAATATGAAGCTGCAAGCATTCAAGTTACAGAACATTCTGAAAATATTTCAGGCATAAAAAGTACACTTGATAATTGCAAAAATAAAGTCTCACTCTTTTAAAAAACATTTTGATCAGCAAAACAAACATTTAACGATTCCTACTTCAGCTTAACTTCATAAGAATGCCACACCTTCCAAAGTTAAAAACAAAAAAACTCAAGATTTTTGGTGATAAAGTAACTGACCAGTCTTTTAATGAAGAGAAATGGTATATACAACAATGGCACAGACCTTAAAGCATCAACAACGTATTTCAGCCAAAAGTAATCTACAAGTGATCCGAGTCATTCTTAGCATCAAATGGTACTGATTACTAAGAACCATAATCCACTAGGAATAGACATTGAGTTAGACTGGTACGAATGGAAGGAAAAATCCATGACATCAAACAGGCTCAGTTTTTGTCACTGAACATTTTTTAGGCTAACAGTTTCACTAGTGCAAGACCATGTGTTTACCTGATTAAATGAAAACTCATAAATGTCACAATTTAAGAACACTCATACAAAACTATTTTTTCTTTTAAAAAAGTGCCACATACCATACTTTTCTAAAAAAGTTACAAACTAATGGAAGACTGTCTGTCTCCATCTCTTGTCAACAAGGAAAGGCCAAAGTGATTCTTTGATCCCAGCTCGAAATGGCGTTCGCTGACCTATCCCCAGCATCTCCAACTTGGAGCAGTCTAGCTGAGCATTCCTCGGACGAAGAGCACCCACAACTGGGCTATCAGTAATCTAAAAAATAAACAGAAAAAAAAACACCAAACAACCTACACACCAACAAGTAATCAGAAATGACAGTAAGGTATTTGTTCTTATATATGCTCATGTAGAAGTTTTCCTTCACAGCTTTCTATATAGGTACATTCCTCTCCTCTCTTCCATCTATTTTGTTGAGGGTTTTTGGTTTGTGAGTTTTTTTGTTTGTTTTATGGTTAACAACATAAGAGATGTCAGGCGGAGTTATCAAGTGTCTTAAGTTAAATCTTTCTCATTCAATTACTGCTCACCATTTACGCTTTTCTACATTTTATTCCAATTTTTACCTTAACGACTATAATCACAAGGTAAAAAATGCTCTTTGGGCAGAAAACGTTCAGACTAACTTTGAGTTCTCCATTCTTTTCTCTCCATCTTCCAAGCCAGATTTGAGTTCCAGCTTTTATTAATTCAAAAATCACTGGAGTTTATTTTGGATATAAATAAAATCTTATTTACATGTTATATTCTCACAACATTATCAAGTATGCCTTTAGGAGTAGTCCTACTTTCAAGTGTCAATAAAACTGCAGGACAGGTGTTTTAAGCAAAGCAAAAATTATTTGAAGTTCTTAAGTGCATGTATTCAAAAATAAATCTGGACATGGAAAAGTTCTTACAGATTCCTACCTTCAAGTTAATGTTCTGCTGATCTGTAAGCTTTTTGAGGACAAAAATACAACATAAAAAATACAGACTTACTCGTGACTAAGGGGAACCGTTCTGCAGAAATACCATTACACTACAGACTGCAAAACTGGTTACTGACTGATTGGGTAATTTTCATAATTCAGCAGATCAAAGCAGCTGTTGTTTTCCTGAGTTAGATACCAGACAGCATCCTCAGCATTACATGTGCTGTGCTAGACACACTCACACAGATCATCCTGAGGAAGAAGCTTACTTTTATAGCTAGCATGAGATGTACTGCTTGAAACGATAAAGTACCTCCATCTTTCTGCATGTCAAACAACACGTGACTTACTGGTCTCAAGTGACTGCTGGGAAGGTTGAAAGCATCTGCAATTGCACATGCCATTTCGTACTTAGTCATCTGTTCATTGCCAGACCAGTGAAATGTTCCTTTTACTGATGGGTCCTACAGAAGAAACAGGAAGCACAGGTGAAAAAAAGCAGCCAGCTAGCCCTCAGATTAGTTCCTGTGGAATAATTGTGCAGAAGAGTCTTCCAGCAAGATCCTGTCCTGAAAGGCATGTTACAGCACCTCACTGATGTTTAGGAAATGTCTCATGCATCTCCTGAGAACACCGGACGAGGGACTGAGACTGAAAATTCGTGTTGCGCATATCTGACCTGACTTTTCACGAACAGCTTATATTCTGTAGAATTAACAGGAGGGAAAGGAGCAAGCCGACCAAGCAACGTCAAATAGCTGGGGAGGAAGAACTGGGCTGTTCCATACTATTCACGTACTCAAAAACAGACGGAAAAGGCACCACAGACATTCTGAATGTTAAACTGCAAAGCGTGTACAAGTCCTGTCAAACAAATGATTGTTCCATGTCCACCACGTGTGCATGGTCCATGGCATGAAAAATAAAGATGGTTGGTTTTGTTACCTTGCATCGGCAGTAATCTGAAGGTGCTGTGGTGAATAAACACAATAAAATACTCAAGTCCAGTGGCTTTTTTTTGCCACCTCGGTGTTCTTAATACAATAACCAAGGGCATCTTTGAGAATGACATTCAACCACTATGGGTTTTTTTTTAAGTCCAAATGGCAATTCGGAAAAGGCATATTAGAGTAAGGTAGGTATTTGCATTTCTCGCCTGTATAGTACAGGACACATGACAATTTTCAGAAGGACCTGTCCCACTCACTTTTGTTTCAAACATCAGAATATCCACACACTGTCATGTAAAGATCCTGTAGTACTGCAGCTAGTTATTTCCTCCCTGCAGTGTTCCAGAAAAGCAAAGAATAATGCAGGTTATACACGGTTCTCAGTTGTTCAGAAACAAAGCCAAGAACTCAAACTGTTTCTACCTTGAAGAGGCTTGTTTCTTTAAATTCTTACCAGCATTCTCTTCTCTGCTAGTTGTCTGCAAACAGCTGCTACATCCTTGACATTAGTAGGAAATCTTTGTTGCCAGTGGTCCATGTTGGCAGATTTATTACTGAACTGCACTTTATCAAACATAACAGTCACAGCACTTTCCTCCAGTCTTTCTACCTCTCCATACAAGACAGGAATCCTAAGTACTGCAGCATCTAAAAAGAATATTTTAACAAGTATTAACATTGTTGTGAATAGGTATGAATGCTGTAGCATAACCTGAAAAGTGTTTTGGTAGCATTCAGAAATATGTTGGTGATATTAAGCATCTACAAATCACAAAGAAAATACAATTACTATGTTTGCCCTCAAAATACAATTTTAATTTATACCAACAAAACCAGTTTATAAACACTAACATTATATAAACTTAATTTCATTTATGCCATTGATTTCTGTGACGTTAACAAGCTTTCATTAACACTGCAAGTGAAAAAGGAAGGCCTATTTGGGTTAGAACAAAAGTTAAAAAACCATAACTGTATTATGCAGTTGCTCCAGCACTCCCCACCCTCCTTGGGTAAGAGCAAGAACAAAGATTCCCAGTGATCACAAATCACTGTATTCAGGCATCAGTTACAAAGATTTTTCACCCAGCGTGCAGACACTTCCTGCATAAACGAGGGTATTATTTACCAGAAGAAAAGAACCTTAGAATGATTAAAAAGCTTGACAAATAAGGAATAGGTTCACAGAATACAGTATTAAACGGTATTAGATTTCAAGACTGCAATTTGAGAAATTAAACGGTGAACAAGTGCAAAGAGAAGGCTATTTTATGAGGAAATACATCGTACTAGTGTGTATCAGTCATGAAGACTCAAAAGGCCTCTTCGAGGAGAAGTCCAAGAAGGCTATGACAAATTCATTAGAAGTAATACAGATATTTTTACTTAAAGGGAAAAAAGATAAAATCAGTCCTGAAATTAGAAGTGGAAGTCACCAAATCATTGCAATTCTTAAAGATTTGTAGGAGGATGCTACAGCTGTTACAAAGCCAAAAAGAAAAAGCTCACACACAAATTACTCTTACAGAAAAATAAACCAAAAGCAGTACTTGCACAGGAGAAACACACGCAATAAAACACCCAACGTGACACTGATTTCCCACTGCGGTAAAAACAGTTATTTGGTCACTCAGCAAATACGTTCTTCCTCTCCTTAAATACCGCTTGAAATGCCTCTTTTAAATATCTTTAGAAGTATTCATATTTGAGAAAAAGACTGCCTGCCTTTTGTTCTCAGAGAGCTATCTGAGACTTGGAAGAGCATAACCTTCACTACCAATGGTTCTGAAGACCTACTGCAAGTTTTTTGTTTTATAAGCACAAGTGCTAAATACAACTTGTATCCTCTCCAAATCAAAGTAAAATATATTTTTAAAAAATAAGCAAAACACCAAAGTATTAGTGGAGATTCTTGCATTATACAACAGAAGTGGACAAGGAAATTCTCCATGCAGCTACAGACATCTGACAGACTGAATTCTACCCTATACAATATTAGCAAATTAGTGGTTGGAAGACTAATACGTGTAAAATATTTATATTTGTATGAAACTACCGAATTGACATTTTCAAGCATCTTACTCTGCACGGTCTCAAAATTCCTTCTGCTAATTCCACTGCTACAACTCACTACTGCCTGACAGATCATGCTCAAAAAGGTTAGGAAACTGAAGTGCTGAGTTGGGGGAAGGACTGAGCAAGATACCCACACATACTTGAATTTGGTGCAGTCTGACCTTCATTCCCAATCTAGAAGAGGGAGCGAACAGCACCACAGTCAAATTCACAGATGATATTTAAGTAAGAGGTAGAGTGAATAGCTTCTTATTTAAATTGATTTTTACTGAAATAAGACTTTTCCTATCAAAGTGTTTTTCAAAAGTCTGTTTCTTACTAGTAATGACAAACCTATATTAAGGCCTATCATTTTCAAATACAGTATATATTCACTTACTGAAAGACCATCACACTAATTTATCAATTGTTCGATTCTCCGGTTAGTCAGAGCCGAATCACAGTGCTAGTACCATACTGACATATCAGAAGCCACTTCTGCAAGTGGACCAAGATTATTCTCTTAAAATACTTTGAGAAAAATGGAACTGCTTCTTTCCTTACAATCTGTGAACGGAAACTGGCAGCATACTAACCAGAAACAACCAAACCTCTTTTGTACAAGAAATAAGTTCTAAATGCAAAGAACCATGGTCAAGTCCCACGCTTTTTCCCTATATTATACAAACACAATTTAAAAAATTCTACGTAAGCCAATTTTCATTAGGAAAAGATTTAAATAAAAAAATTTAAAGATTATTTGCTTAAGGACAGAACTATGTTACTAATCCCTTTAGAAAGTGTTACAAGCAGGAATCTGATGTGTGTGGTAAGCTAAGGGGGTAAAAATAAAATGGGTGGCCGGATGGCTGATGTAATGAGAGCAAAACAGGCGATCAGCAAGTAAACCAAAAGAGTAACAACAAAAGCCTATGTTGATTTCATCTGCATTATTATTGAATTGGAAGTCTGTTTTTCCTTTTAAGTAAACATACATTTAGAACAGTTGCAATGCATCCCCCTAAATAACAGCAGCTATATATTAAGTGTGGTAAAGCTTGTGCCATTACAATATATTGATGGTGTATTTTATCTTTCCTTAGGTATACTTGATTCATAGTAGACAAAGGCTTGTGAACATACATCATCAGAGACTAGTAACACAAATGAAGGTCAGAACAACTAAGAAATAAAGCTTTAGTCAACCTATAAAAAAAGAGGAATCATTTATGAGCAAGGAGACTGACTCCTAATTACATTGTTTTCCAAATCTTGTTTCCATGGTCTTGCAACTTTACCACTGACTTATGAGTCTATCAAGCTAATATACAACTAAGTAAAAATAGAAAGCCTCTATTAAAAATGTGTGAGCATGTTCTTACCTTCATTATTTTCCAGGACTGCCTTTTCACCCTCTAGTTTGGTTTTACCATATAAATTCAAGGGATTTGGTACATCAGTCTCTTTGTAAGGAGGGCTTGTTCCATCAAATACATAGTCTGTACTAATGTAGATCAGAAACGCTCCAACTCCAGCTAGGAAGAAAGTGTTCATACATAGTCTATTTTAGTTCATGCCATGTTTGAAATCCCAAGAAACCTTTAAACAAGTCTCCAGAAGACTTCATCTTCTACCCCCATTCATTCCCTCTGCTTTGTCTGTTCACGGATCCTTCATGTGGACGTACATGCTACGCTTACAGGAAAGGGACTGACGGCACACTGATCACACAAGTGATATTCAGCACTTCAACTTAACTCACATTTATGTTCCTGTATAAATAAATGCAGTATTTTAACAAGAAACCAAACCCATTAGATGGGCTCCTTACCTGCCTCTTTTGCCAAGTTCCCTGAAGCAGCCACATTGAGCTGAGAAGCAGCATCTGGTTGTCTTTCTACAACATCTGGCCTTCTCTCAGCAGCGCAATGCACTACAACATGAGGCTGGAAATTAAAGACTGATTTTAAACAACAAACATTGTCAAGAGATTGCAGTCGCATCCTAACTCTAGCGATGGACTCCCTCAGGCAAAAAAGCATTTCACTACATTCTGAGAAGTAATAATAGTAGTAGTATAATTTTAATCACAGCATTCCGAGGATGTTTTCCTTAGGAAGTAAAACAGAACCATGCTGCATCAAGATACCAAAAAAAGGATAATTAAGTTTGCAATTCTGATCTTCACTAGCTTCGATTTTACAGCAAAACGGAAGTTGTTGGGGTTTTTTTGTTTTTAGCTCAGTATAATAACATAAAGTATAATTGTATACTATGTCTCTCTCTCTCTCACATACGTAATGGTAGTTGAAAACACATTAGCCAAATTATTTTTAGATAAGCCATTTGACAGCTTATTTGCCACATTCAGACTATTAACAAGATATTTAAAGCCATTTTACAGAATGGAACCCTGCATAAAGTATTTCAGGTTTTATATATTCCCCTTGCAAATCAGACTCAAAAGAAGTGAGCTTCTGACCGCACTGCACGCTAAACATGCGGTTACTGATGTTGTAGTCAAGTATTCTTCAACTTTGACATAGTAATGTGAAGCAGTTCTTTCAATAACTCACATTTATCTTTTTCTTTCAACTCTCACTGCAACTGCGCTGACAGGTACATCTGTTACCTGCAGCCCGTCTATGGTGATGATAGCAAAGCTCAGAACTATGTGTTTGCAGAGCAAACCGACACCCCAGATGTGGCAGAAAAGGCAGCCATGTCATTTTTCAGAGCCCTGCCCAAGCATTCATCCCACTAAAGCCACATGAACTCAGTATCAGAACAGCACTGCCAGCTGATGACAAGATGTATCAAGTATCCTATCCATCTACTTCATGCTCCAAAAACTTACCTGAAAATCATGGATAATGTCATGAACTGCAATAGAGTCCAGAAGATTAATCTGTTCAAATCTGGGCTGGGCTCTCCTGTATCCACAGCCAACTGCATTCCAATTATTTTCATTGAATTCCTTAAACACAGCTCTGCCAAGAAGTCCCGTAGCACCAGTAATCAAAACTCGCCTGCTGGGAATATCAACATCTTCCTAGAGAAACAAGAACAGGAAAAGTTTTCATTTATTACTGGGCTTTTTTCATAACTAGTATGGAAGGCTACAGCCAGTGCTACTGTATTAAATAGCTTTCCTTGTTACATGATTGTTCTTGGAGTGTCTTATGGAACACAAACATCTGGGAGCACTGATACTGCACCTAGTCAAGTATTTTAAACGTATTTTTGAAGGTAATGAAAACAAAACTTAAATGGGAAACTCATTTACTTCCCCAACAAGAGGGGAAAACGAACCAAACCATGAATGAAGACAGAATTTTAAGTTCATTCAAAATCTGATAACATTATGCAATTTGAAATGAGAGAAATAAATTATTTTGAAAATGGACCCAAATTATGTAACATTTAGGGTCCACATCCTGCAACAAGTAATTTTAGATAGACTCTGCCTGTTAAAGGCTGCAGCAATACAATATAACTCCCTGTAGGCCTACCTACAATGACTGTAAGAACTGAAGACTTCATTATTAAATAGAACAAGAGTTCATCATTATTCAACAGAACAGCCTAATAATAAGTAAAACCAAGATACAGCTCTCCTCTCAGTTTTACAAAGTGCATCTGAAAGCGATTTGATAATTTAAGCTCTCAAGCAAAACAACGTACTAAAGCTTTACTTCAGCTACTGCGTACTTCAGTACTTCACAGTTGTGTGCATCAGTTCACACCAAGTTCATTCCTCCTCACCCCTCACTAGACCATCGAGTTTCAAGACAGAAAACGTAAGATTCATGACTGTCTGTACAATCTTTATGTTACTATCATGCTTTTCTTCTGCATGTATCATGAACAAGAGGCTGCTAAGAGCAAAAATAAAAACATATCCCTACATGCCAGTACAGAACAAAACTTCAGGTGTGCAAAATCCCCAAGTCCTGGATTTCCTGACCACTTTATACATACACAAGGACAATTTGCGGTAATTGACTACAATTGCTTAAATGCTCTCTGCTGTCCAATTCAAATGGCCCAGTCACTGCTCAGCATTCTTACGTTTTCAGCATTGTAAGAGACTGCTGCTTTTTGATTGTGGCACAGGAAGCAACAGAAATTGCTTCCAAATTACTGTCCATCTGTCACCCTTAAAGTTAGAAAGCTTCTGTTCATAAGGGTATATGCAGAAGTGCATTATGGAAACAGCATATCCCAAAACAACTGCTTGAAGTTCCCAGCACACTGGGATTTTCCTCAACTCTAAATCTTCAGGCCAAGGGTGACAGAATGTCTCTAATATGTGTCATTGGTAAAATGTGTCATTTTTAAGCATCATTCATTTAAGTTTCTTTATTCTATGTATCATGAAGAGGATGTTACATTAGCAGCACAGCTTGAACAGAACACAATCACAACTTGTACCAAGCCAAGTACAGTTTGCATCCTGTTGCTCTCATCTACAAGAATAATAGATTTTATCCACTTGTTTCTGGGACACCAAGGTAAGTGATAGATGTTTCCCATAAATTTAACACAAAGCGACTACCAGATTAAACATATTTCACCTTGACAGAAATTAAACTGTCTGGTAATACAAA